CAGACTAGAAACAATAGACAACTCCCAAAGCACAAACGCAGCCAAAACGCTAAAAATCTTCAATGTTTACTCAAGTTTGGGCTTATAGAAGATAATGTCACAGTTTTTCAATGACCATGAAATTCAGAGTCCGGGTAGTTAGTTAATCAATTATGGCCCTGAAAAAATTTGAAGGAAAAAAAACGAATTTTTAAGAAAATGCTTTTTTCGTGAGAAAGACTCTTAAACGCTGACAAATGTCAACATATAGCGAAAACTATAATTTTTATATGTTTGCTTTGCTCGAAATCGCGCGCATTTGCAAGGCCCTAAAGCGTTTTGCTGACTTGCAAGGACCCATCTGTTATAACGATGCCCAAAATAAAGAGATGAATCTCATAGTTTATTAGATATAACCCGTGTAAAGTTTGCTTATCATTTTCGCATAAATTATGACCTAAATTTGGAAACCGCTGAATTTCTAGAATTGGGTCTTTGCGATTTCGGTGAAACTCTGTTCAGCGCAAGGCACTAATGCGCACTATGTGTAGCCGAGAGATTTTCACGAAAAAATGCCTGCAACAGCAGATTTTCGACTCAGACCTTAAAGGGGCGTGGCATTATAACCACGTGACATTTACTCCGATCGCCAAAAATTTTATGTTATATTGTAGATTGATCTATATGTTATCCATTCTATGTGTTAGACTTACGATAAAAGTAAAGGTGGGGATACCAGAGAGCTTTAAAGTAGGATAGTACCCCCCCCCCCAAAAAAAAACTGGGTCGAGTCACCTTAATTCATACATTATAAATACATTAGAATACATTTACAAGTTTGCTAAACCGTTTCTTATTTTTGTGTTTTGTTTTCGGCAACAACCGTTCTATTCGACTGAATTAAACCAAGTCGTGCTAATGTCGTGCTGCAGTCGAGTTATAGTCGAGCCACTAGCTTAGCACAGCAGTAGCATGACGTTTGAAACAGGCCTAAACTTTGGCCTGTGTGAAAGGGGCTTTAGACTGCACAAGTTTGTCTGCGTAGCGCACGCAGTCGGGATTTCCATGTTGATGAGAACTTAACTGCACGCGGGCTAAACATTTGAACTATTTGAGTGGAGTGTCTGTATGCTAGCTGGATAAGCTAAGTACACTTTCCACTATAAACAATCCTTTAACTCCGCCATTAATCGATCTGTTTAACTATACAAAGAAGGGGATTTAGCTAAAAAAAAAACAAACAAAAAAACGCCCGGATAAAGAAAAAAATTTACGGCTATATTCTCGTGTCGCTGATTATTTTTCGTAGAGGTACGTTTTTTTAATCAAAAAGAGTGTGTCACTGTAATTGATAAACAAAACATAACACTCTTAGTACGTGATGTTTGTTTCTACTGTTCACTCCAGTTTCCTTTGTACCGGCACCTGTATCGATCCTGCGCGTGTTCTCGGTAATTCTGCCCACGTGTTCAAGAATTAAAGGAACCTCATTTTAATTTCCATAAAAGGGAATGGTGGGCCTAAACACGTGTCAGGAAACGTTTGTGTACACACGCACAGCTGAGGGAAGTCAGAGTTAGTTAAAGCAAACCGCGAAACGTGGTTGGTTTCGGAGAAAGAAAATATCGCGTTTAAGGAGACACGTGTAATAAGGTCGGCCGGGATTTTCAAACCGACAGTGAAGGGCTGAAATAAACTGAAGAAATTCTAAGTTACCTCAGTAAAAGTTAAATGATAACAAC